GCAGGAGCTCTAAGACCTGCAGAAGTGATGGTGCCTGCAGAGGCTGCAGTTTTTATAAGCCCAGCTTCAACACCTAAAAATCAGCTAGATTTTAAGTCTATGAACAATTTCTGAAGGGAAAACATGTCCACCCGAGCACTCAAAGCAGAACTTCTGTTGAAAATCACTGATGGTCACATAAAAATATTTGTAAAATTATATCACATGAAGGTAATCTCTCTATTCCAATGCTTTATGTAGAGGCTTCTGGCCTCAATAGTTATATACATTTTAAAGTTGATAATATCTGATATTTCTGTGCCTTTTAAACTTTCCCTTCAATAATTTTGTTGTTGTTGTTTATGGAAACAGGCACACTGTGAAGAAACATACAAAAAAAAAAGATTCTAGTTGACTTCAGAGGATGTTTTACTGACTTCTCAGGAAATTTAAGTGAATAGCAGTTGCAAAGAGGCACCAGATAGATAGGTGTGTACCATGAAAAAACATTCAACTTTTGTGCTTGACACTGTACCAGTTTGTGTAAAGGTCTATGACATTCTCCATTCATTTTTTTTGCTGATTTGTTTTTGATTAAAATATACATTGTATTGACATTATCTAGGTTTTTCCCATGTTAGTTCATCTGGCTAAGAAGAACCCTAGACCCATCACTTGGTACTAATTAAAAAGCATCTGCTCTAATTTTTCTAATTTCTCCTTTTATTGTTTGCAAGGCATTTGCAAAAACCTTAATATTTTTATTTTATATGTGAAAGATACATATAAAAAGGTAATTTAACCGAAGTTTTATAGATCAAAAGGGTTTTCTTTAAGACCAGGGTCATCACCTACATGACTACATGACTACATGACTACATGAGCAATGAAGGTTTAGATGAGGTATTAGGAAGAAATTATTTACTGTGAGGGTGGTGAGGCACTGGCACAGGTTGCCTAGATAAGTTGTGGATGCCCCACAGTTCAAGGCCAGGTTGGATGGGCCTCTGAGCAACCTGGTCTAGCAAAAGGTGTCCCTGTCCATGGCAGAGGGGTTGGAAAGAGATGATCTTCAAGGTCGCTTCCAACCCAACCCATTCTAGGTTTCTATGACTGGAAGGACTAAAGTATGATGCATATGCAGTAACACAGAGACTTTTTGCTGTCCAGAAGGTTTCCAGAAATGTTATCTATGAAAATAGACCAAGGATATTCTCCCTCTCACATATCAGCAGTGTATTCTGGTAGATGTATGCAGGCAACCATCTCTAACAACCGCGATTATGCCTATGAAGCTTTGGTTATAATGCCAGCAACGCAATACTCAGTGACTTCAGCTCAGAGCAGGCATTTTCTTGTCTTTTATTGCCTTTGGAGCTGGAATTACTGCATCCCAGACCACATGCTAAGAGAACCAATTTCCGAGGGCCTCTTCTGCTGTGAGCAGCTGAAACATGAAGATCCAAGGCTTCCAGCCAAACTTCAGTTTCCGTTGTGCTGGCATGAATGGAACCACTCCAGTTTTAGTGAGCAAAGTGGGGTGGGGGAGTACTTGGGCCTTCTCAGAGACGATTTCTGAGTCATAATGAAAAAAAAAAGGTCTTTCACTCAGCTCCCTATTACCTTCTGGGTTTGAATGGCTCAACCAGTGTTTTGAAAACTTGTCACTCTTGAAATCATGAAAAAAAGTCTGTTACTAGACCTTGCAAATATAGATTTACTACAGTGTAAAATAAAAAACATTAGGATATAGCAACTTCACTTGAAGTGCTCAGAGTAATGATGGACATGATAAAACACACTTGCTAAGGAAATAATATTATCTCATGGGCTAAATAAAATTAAAACCAGTAGTCTTCTTGTATATCCTACATGAGGAAGTGAGATAGACACTGGCTAACTTTCACCACTGATATGTGATGTACCTTCTGCTGTAGACAACTGGTCTTGAGTTCATCATCATAAAGTAATGGAGTAGATTTGGACTGTCCCATAAGCGATGTCAGCCCATAATGTATAGGCTGTTGAGAAAGCTGACAGAATGGAGCTTGGATTATTCACTGGTCATTTCCCCTTAGAAGGCGGCTTTGGAGCTATGACTTATTTTGAAACTCTTCCTGTCATGTGATTTTGCTCAACACATAGTTCATTTGTTTGGGTAGTGCATTTGTTGGCAGAATATATCTTGAGGCAAATGCTATTTCCAAAGTGGAGGTCATGATCTTGGAAGCGCACATGGAAATGGGGGTCATGGGAAAAGCTGGGAATTGTTGAAATGTGGTGAAAGCAAAGTAATCTATACATGTTTGTATTGACAGTAGCCACAAAATTGACAGCAGCCACAAAACTGTTCTTTGAGAAACTGAGATGAAATTATCACAGGGAGTAGCAAGGTAGAATGGACATAAATAGCTCAAGGTTTGGGCTGACTATGCTTAAGAAATCTTTAGGTAGTTCAGCTCTCTTAAATCTAAACCATGTGCTGTGATACCCTTTTAATCATATAAATCAGGCTTTGTGAGAAAGTTTACTTTAAATGTAATGAAATACTAGTACATTCTGGCAAACAAGAAACTTCCTCTCCTGATAGTGAGAAAATTTTCACATATCATATGGCCACAGCCATCAAAGAAGATTTTAATCTTCATTTTTTAGTAAAGTAAGTATTTCCATATATGCATATGTTTTTTCAATTTTTCAGCAAAGGGCTCTTCCAGCCCCCAAAGTTTGCAGGTGGGAAGTCCAAAACTAGAGTGGCTCTGGTTTTCAGAGGAGAAATTGTGGGTTTGCCTTCTATATACAAATCCTTAGACGAGCAGAATTTTTTTCATGAACATGGGTTTGCATTCTAGGAGCTTACAGCACTACAAATCTGTGTCTACCTTGATGCAGAACATAGATGGTTGAGTTGTGTGATTGCCTTAAATAATCTGGCTGCTACAGGCAACTTGACAAGTGTCTGGAACAGCTAGATGCCAGATATGTGTGAAGGCAGCTGTTGTGTTGATCCTTCTGTATTGTGTAATGCATGGCAATTATTCTCAAAAAGAACTTTTGGAGATATTAAGGCAAATCCACAGCATCATTACACCGGTTCTGTTCAACCCTCTTCAGTTTAATGTTCTCTTTACCACAAATGGCAGTGATTATGCTGACTGACTGCACATGAAGGAACCCTTGGCTCACATCAGCAGTAACTTTCTGCTCATTAATGAAGTTTCTAAACAGTTGATTGGTGTTTTTGTTTTGGTTGGGATACCTGCTTGACTTAAGAGTAGTATTACTATTTTAATTTTCATGCTTTGGTGCCTTCACATCCTACTTGTATGACTGGTATGGAACTTCTCAAACAAATTTTTGTTCAATCCACTGAGTAATTGGCTCCCCATTCAGTAGATTTTCAAGAGATATCATGATTCAACATTTTTGAGTAGTAATCAATTAATATCTAAAATAAGAATTTCAGATGCTGAGTACAATTCTGACAACAAACCTGAGCTTCTTGAATGTGTGAGTCCTTTTGTGTTGCCTTTTGCGAATTGTATGATTCTGTGAAAGACACTGGTATTAGTCATTAAAATGATATAGTTTGTAGATAGTATTCCTGCCTCAGATGAGCTACAGAGGAAGTAACTCTATACAGGAACCATTTTCCTTACAACTAGACTTTCTTCACAGGTGACCTCCAGCCTCACCTTTTAAGTGACATGCACATTCTGCAGAAGTCCCAATTCCTCAATGCATATGGGGCCAGAAACTTGCTGAATTTCTGTATGGAGAGATTTTAGCATGTAAAGGTGAGAGATACAATGCCTATACCCTCCTACCTCTGTGCTTTACAGAGCCAGGAGAGTAGGAAATATGGGTATGAATTGGAAAACCCCGTGTAGCAAATGTAGGTCGTCCTCCTTCCAAGTTTCAAGAAAACCTAGGAGAAATGCCATGCAGCACTAAGCAAAAACATCACGTGCTTGTGGCTGTGTTAATTTTCCTTGTGATGTAGTAAACAGAAAGGCTGTTCTTGAAATGACATGTTCCAAAGCAAAGAAGGAGCTGAGCCCCCATAGTATTTTTGCAGTAGATTCCTCTTACCTTATTCTCATTCAGATACCCCTTGTGGGAAGCTTCTGGGTGTGCTGAGCAGCATGTTTTGCTGGAGTGCTGGGAGATGAATGGGATGTGAAGTTGGAGAAAGAGGATGTCAGTCTGGTAGCAGTTTGGGCATTTGAGAGAAACAGCAAGGGTTAATTATTTAGCTATTAAAATAGCATTATTAGCATAATGAGACATCTTGTTTTCACTCTAATTATATTTATTTATTTATTTATTTATTTTAAGTTATATTACAGCCCTGAGGTTGGAATGCTGCTTCCGAATAAAAGTTTGTTTGACAGAGCAACCATTATTCAGTAAGAGGTGATAGTCCAAATATATGGACTTTTCTTTAGACTACTTTGGACTACTTTAGACTACTCTTAAAAGCTTCCATCTAGGAGAAAACAAATGCCTAATAAAATGGTGCAGTCTTATTGAAAATAAAAGCTCAAACCTTAGTTTTGTTATGTTAAAAATACCTTTGTTTTACTTCTGATGATATTAAACATCTAACATAAAAAAAAACATTTCTCTTGCATTTCCATTTAGACATTATGATGTCCACAACACACAAAAAGACCCTATATTTCCTCTGTAAGACATTTTTAAAAATTCTGGTGTACCAGACTGAAAAATCATCAGGAAACCAAAAGTGCTTGCCTTAATTAAGTTACCTTGTGCTTTGTGGAACTGGCAAATACACATGGGGCACTGTTTAAGCTGTAACCTTTTCTGCAGATTCAGACATGGAATCCCAACAGAGAATTAAGCAACTGAAACCCAAATCTAACACCCACAAGCCCCAGGAAGTCACATAAGTGAAGTAAGCATCAGAGTGACTTTCACAGATAACATTTCCAGAAATGTTATCTATGAAAATAGACCAAACATATTCTCACTCTCACAAAGTCCTGATACTCATTCCAGAATTTGGATTGTCTGTGGGTATCTGTTTCTGCTCTGGCTTATATTCTGATTGTACTAAGCAAGGTCACATTCAGTGAGGTGAAAGTCAGCAATGAAATTTGTTATCTTAGACACAAGAGCAATGTGACTGTTCCTGTCTGTTCTGTTGTTTGTAGCTCAATGTGTATGATGGCAGAGATGGCATGTTCACACAATTTCAGACTGTGGACACCCATTCTGTGGGATATAAGCAGGCTGGTGTCTGCACTGTATGAGCTGAAGTGATGAGCAAGTCCACCAGGCCTGCCATCTGCACCAAAGTCAAAGGCAGCATACACGCAGTCGCAGATCAAACAATATACTTAAACCCACCTGCAACTTAACTTTAATAAAACTAGCTCTAAACACTGAGGACAGGGTCTAGTTGGAGGCCTGTCACTAGTGGTGTCTCCCAGGGTTCAGTACTGGGCCCAGTATTGTTTAACTTATTCATCGATAACTTGGATGAAGGGATTGATGTCTCCTCAGCAAGTCCACAGACAACACAAAGCTTGGATGACTGGCTAATACCTCAGAGGACAGGTTGGAGAGAGGCTCAGACAAAACTTGTCTGAAGTTCAACAAAGGAAAGTAAAAGGTCCTGCACCTGGGGCACAATAACCTCCAGCACCAGGAGAGGCTGGGGGCTGACCTGCTGGAAAACAGCTCCATGGAGAAGGACCTGGGGTCACTGATGGACAACAAGCTGTCCATGAACCAGCAAGGTGTCCTGGGAGCCAAGAAGGCCAGTGGGATGCTGGGGTGGATTAGGAAGAGCATGCCAACAGGTCAAGGGAGGTGATCCTTCCCCACTACTCAGCCCTAGTCAAGCTGCATCTGGAGTGCTGTGTCCAGTTCTGTTCTCCTCAGTATAAGAGAGACAGAGATCTCCTGGGACAGGTCCAGAGGGTGCCACAAAGATGATGAGGGGACTGGAGCATCTCTCTTACAAGGGAAGGCTGAGGGAACTGGGCCTGTTCAACCTTGAGAAGAGACGACTGAGAGGAGATCTCATCAATGTCTCTCAGTATCTGAAGCTCAGGGGATGGAACTGCCTCTGCTTGGTGGTGTGGAGCAGTAGAACAAGAGGCAACGGGCAGGAACTGATGCACAGGAAGTTCTACCTAAACATGAAGAAGGACTTCTTTCCTCTTTGTGTGATTGTACAATGGAACAGATCACCCAGAAAGGGTGTGGAATCTCACTCACTGGAGATGTTCCAGAACTGTCTGGACACAATCATGTGCAGTGTGCTCTAGGGTGACCCTAAGAGCAAGGAGGTTGGATCAGATCATCCACCAGATGATCCAACCTGACCTATTCTGTGATTCTGTGGTTCTGTGAATTCACCATGTGGAGAAGCAAGTCCTGCCATCAGGTCGGAGGAGATCTCTCCACTTCATTGGTTGGATCCAGGCCCGAGCAACCATGAAATCTATTCTCGGAAAACTCTTTCCTTTAAAGGGCAGAATTTATCTGAATGCTTTTTTGTTCCTGAAATTTGTGCGATTTTTTTTATTAGTAAGTATTTTAGAGCTTATCTCTGTACTTTGCTGACTTTGACCTTTCAGTTAGTAATTACATAATTAGGCTTTGAACTTGTATATCACTTCACAGCTTCTTGCTTTCCCACAAAGGAGCTGGTACTCTGTGGTATTTCCACCTCTTCCTACTTTTGTATGCACATTTGTGCCTCCTCAATACACAATAATTTCAGCCAACATAAGCATACTTTATACCAGCTGATTAACCTTCAGGCTGAGGCTGAGGAAGTACTTAGATGCAAAGTTCTGATTGCAGTCATCTTTTAAATATTTTGTGGGAAATAAAATCCTTTGTAAAACAAAGGAGAATAGTTTAAACTAGTAAGGTATTCCATTTAAAGCATGTTTCAACTTGTTGGATTGAGTACAAAATAATTCATTTTTAAGGTTAATTGACTTCAGATTGGATATCATGACTAAGAACAAAAATCTGGGTACTTTTATCCAACTTTTTTTTTTTTTTTTTTTTTAGGAAAAATCCAGTAGAGATTGTTGTGGGTCTTTGTGAAAGAAGGTATATTGTCAGCAGAAACTACTTCCTCATGCTTTTTATGAAAAATACAATGGTAGCAGAACCATACTGAGACAGATGCTCAGAATCCTGAGCATCCAGAAATGTACAACACTGGAATCTGCAAAACAAATCATAATATACAAAAGGCATGCAAGAAAATAATCTTTCTTCTGCAACTCATATTTATCTCTTAGATCAGAACATGGAACCGCAACCCTTTCTCATACAGGTTTGAGGGGTCATAAGGCAACAGACAAGGAAAAAGAGAATTGTTTGAACAGTGTATTATTCACAGGGGGCCCACATCAGGAAAGTTTTTAAAAATTGCTATTCATGAAAATCTTAACCATATGTATGTATATAGTTGAAAGGAGCCACATGAAAAGGGGAAGTTAGTGAGGCTTTTTAAGTGTTGTCAGATCTTGCCTAGGCATAGACTCTGAAGTACAGGGGTTGTTGTTTCCTAGCCATTTGGCACCTCTCTTTTCTGCATGCCCTGACAGAGCAACATCCTTTAGAGATCACACAGAGGAGTTGTTTCGGGTTTCTAAGACGAGAGAAGACATTTTGTTGAATTTTGGACTTAAACCCATCTGTGTGGTTTACTTTGGGGGTTGATTTTGTTTCAGTAGAAGAGGGACAACCTGGATGACTAGTATGTCATATAGAGTATCTCAAATATTGACAACATACCAAAGATTTAGGTAACATGATGAAGACATTGTGCCCCAGAAACTGTCTTCTAAAATTATGTCATACTATTTTATCTTGAGAAATATCTATTTAGACCCAGCAGGAATGGCGTGAGCTGTGCTGCACGGCTGAGTAAAATGGAAGAGAAGTAATGTTTGCTCTTCCCAAGGAGGAGCTTACTCCCTACATGCAGTTTCTCCACAGTGAATCCCAACTGGATCAGTGAACATACTGAACACAATGTGATTCTGGGTCTTCTCTATGACAACACCAAAATCATAATGAGAGAAAAAGAAAATGATATGAAACTGGGAGGTGATGTTGACTCTCTTGAGCAACAAGTGGCCTTACAGGAGTCCATCTAGATAGACTGGAGCAATGAACAATGACTAATGGGACAAAATTTAACAAGTTCGAATGCCAGGTTCTGCACCTAAGACAGGGTGAGGAAGTACAAACTGGGAGAGGAGTGGCTGGAGTGCAGTTCTGCAGAAAGGGATCTGAGGGTGCTGGTCAGCAGAAGGCTCAGTAGGACAAAAAATAAGTAATTTTCAGGAAAACTTGGTATCCCATTCTTCTCAGAATTATTCATACCTAAGAGACCAGGAACTGAAGATTAACAAAAGTGAATATGCACAGTTAATAAGAGAAAAAGATAAATCTTTTTGTTCCGATTCCTTTTAAACAGGCTACATATCGAGTGATAGGAACAGACCAATACAGCCAGAAATATTAGCTTTGAATAATAAATTCCACAATTGCTTATTACTTATCTCCATTTGATTGGGTCAGTTCCTCCTCTTTTTCTCTTATGAAGAAGGGTATGTCCATTTGTATGAATAAGTTGTAAAACTAATGGTATGTACTGGACTTTTGTACCAGCAAAAATAGTATTTTGCATTTTCTAATCTATGCCAATGAAAATTCTTTGATATTGTTAGCTAAAGCCATACTTAAGTTATATGTAGCTTTCCTTTGTGCAACAGGGAATAGATTCTGATTTATGTTTTTGGGGGGGCATTTTTTTGGTTGCAAATGTTGCATTATAAACACATTTACTTAAACAAACCAAAACATTTCCAGCCAAACTGGCAAATTCTATATTTCCTGACTATAATAGCGCAGAGTTTCAAACTTGAGGCCTCGAAGGCCTCTACAGGTATGCAACAATTTTTGATGTGCTGACCCAACTGGCATTTTGATTTATATGGCTCTTTCCATCTTTGTATATCTTTGAAAATAAAGCCACTTAATTAGGTCTTAAAATATGGAATAAAGAATCTAATTTTAAGAATAAAGTCACTTAGCTTTCAAGGGATTTGACTTGAGAGCTGAATTGGATCCATCAGTACTTATAGATCTAATCCCAAAAGCATGGTGTGGCTCAAATGTAAGTAACAGGAATTTTCAAAGAACTTTTCATTACAGTTAGCATCAGGTTGAGATTCTTCTTTTGGTAGCTTGGCCTTTTAGACAAAAAAAAAAAAAAAAAATCAGTTTTTCCCTGTTGCTTCAGTGATTTCACTGCCTATTACTGTGTTTCATTTGTTGATCTAAAAATAAGTTATTTATGAATTTTTACATCAGAATTCATGAATAAGTCATGTTTGTGAGAAATAAGGAGAGTCAAAGGTATCTGTGGAATGGCTGCTATGACTGTATGTTATTGGTTGTAAATGGTTTAATCACTCCATATTTCCACGCCCTGTGGGATCTCAAGCTACGTGGAAGCTCATTTGCCGCCACATCTGGCTTTTTATTACTGTTTCCTGTTTACTATGCTATATATAGAATGTTTGATACATGAACATTTCCTGTTCCGTTAACAATTCATACTCATTTAGCTTTCCTTTGTGAGCACACATGTTAAAACCTGGGCTACAGTTCAGCAAGGTATTTGAATGTGTGTCTCAGTTTAAGAATCAAGTAACTTCAGTGCTGAACTACATTAATTAATCAAGAAAGATATAGAGTAGGAGAGTCAGAAATATGAAAATATCCTTTAAATTAAAGGAAGATTAGGTTTTCATTGGAAGCTACTGTATCTCACAACAGTTTCTGCAGATTGTTGGCAGTCATTCAAAGTATTTAAGAGCCAGCAAATTTTCAGTAATTGAACTTTACTTTGGAACACTTTACCTTAAATTAGCCATATCCCTATCAATAACAATAAGCAATCTACAGACATGATTCCAAATTCTTTGGCATATTTGAGAGCTACGTGCAATGCCTTCTTCTCACTTGCTGTTGCTCTCTTGTGGTTGTTCAAATTCTGCATTGACTGAAACAAGTGAGGCAGAACATACTTATTTCATTAACAGCTAATGTCCTGCAGGCAAAGTTCAAGCTGTACTTTTAATGTATACAAAATGTGCATAAAGATGTTCAAAATCTCACTGTCTAAGTCCTCCTTTGTGACCTTTTTTGTTGATTGGTAATAAAAAAATGCAAACATATTTTGATAGATGTCTAAAATAGAATGTATTTATAATACAGCTTTTGCTGGATCATTGGGCTGAGGTCAACACTATGAGGTTCTACAAAGCTAAATGCCACATCCTGCACTTGGGTCACAACAGGTTTGGGGCAGAGTGGCTGGAGAGCTGCCCAGCAGAAAAGCACCTGGCAGTGCTGGTTGACAGCAGCTAAACATGAGCCAGTGTGTGCCCAGCTGGGCAAGAAGGCCAGTGGTACCTGGCCTGTGTCAGAAATAGTGTGTCCAGCAGGATCAGAGCAGTGGTTGTCCCTCTGTGCTGGGCACTGGTGAGGCACTTCAAGCGCTGCATCCAGTTCTGGACCCCTCACTGTGAGAAAGGCATCAAGGTGCTGGAGCATGTCCAGAGAAGGGCAGCGGAGCTGGGGCAGAGTCTGGAGTACAGGTCTGATGAGGAGTGACTGAGGGAGTTGTGTGGGCTCAGCCTGGAGAAAAGGATGATAAGGGACAATAAGGGGGGACCTTATCACCCTCCACAACTGCCTAAAAGAAGGTTGTAGCCGGGTGGGGTTTGGCCTCTTCTTACAGACAACCAGAGACAGGATAACAAGAAATGGCTTCAAATTGCACCTGGGAGGTTTAGGCTGGATATCAGAAAGAATTTCTTCCCTGAAAGGGTTGTCAAGGTTTGGAATGGGCTGCCCAGAGAAGTGGTGCAGTCACCATCCCTGGAGGTGTTCGAAAAACAGCTCCATTGGACAGTAAGTACTACAGCCTAGTAGACAAGGTGATGACTGGTTAAAGGTTAGACCCAAGGATACTTGAGGTGTTTTCCAACATAAATAATTTCTTTGATTCTATGAAAATCAGAAAGTATTCTTTCAGCACATTACATCTTGCATGGTTTTTAAAGTTTTACTAAGACTTATAGAATCACAGAGTATTCTGAGTTGGAAGGGATCCACAAGGATCGAGTTCCACTCTTAAGTGAACGGCCCATAAAGGGATCAAACCCACAATCTTGGTGTTATTAGCACCAAGCCCTAACCAACTAAGCTAACCTCATCATCTGCCAAATGTGTTTCATTCTGAACTTTGCAGTCTTCTCCACCACGTTTACTCAGTTCAACAGTACTACCAGGGCTTCAGCTTAAACTAGCACCTCACTGTGCTCCATGCCTCTGCTAAATAAGAGGCAGGGAATTCATCTCTTTACACTGCAAATCATGGGACTGAAATCACAAATGAGTAAAGAAAAAAAAATTTTGTATTTCACATTGTTCTACCTTCTAGAATGCACACTAAGTATTTATCTCCATCCTCCCTTTGGTGCCCTGGAAACAGACTCCTTTGCCTTTCCAGCAAAGGAATAAATACTGGCTACATAAATTTGCAAACAATCCTTTCCTTGTTTTCACTTGATATTAAATGCTATACAACATTGCAGCAGGAGGTACTACATAATATTCCGGCATTTGATAATTAAGAATGCGTTGATGATTAATGACATACTCTACGAGGAGAATGTGGTGCCATAGGAGTACTGCCAATTCTGTCAATGACATACAGTAACTTCCCTTAAATTCTGAGCAGCATTATCACAAATGGAGAAAACTGACTCAGTCATTGAATAGGCCTGTATTTGTACAGAGATGTTAAATGATCTTTCTATGATTTCTCTTAATTAGTCTGTCTTGGTAAGAGCAGGTGCAAATTGTTGGCGTTTTCTGATTCAAATATTTTATGTTCTTAGATAGTATGAGATTGCTAGTAATAAGCACAAACTACCTCTTCAAGTAAAAATAAGGTTTACCAAATGAGTCGGTTTCTCATTTTTATAATAAATTTTCAATTTTCTAATCCATTGTGTGACAGCATGTATTCCATGCAATGGTATCTCTTCATATATATACATTACTGCAAATATTTCACTTTGTGTAGTCACTATTATTCATCCTCCTGCCTTCACCAACCCGAACCTATTTATCTTCTGACTGGCTAATATTTCTTCCTGAAGGAGATGTGTCAAGTTCTTGTTGGTAAGTCTCTTGCCTTCTCTTTTTCTTTTATGTCTGCAGAGAAGTCTTTAGAATCTTATACAGGATTTTTAACTGTAAGTTGATAATAATTTGAAACTAACATTAATTTCATTTCTTGTCAGAAAGAGAGGAGAGAGAAAGTAAGAACAAAGAAGAGAGAAATTATAGGGTGACGTGAAGAGAAAAAGGAAGAGAAAAAACCCTCTATCACATTCAAAAATTAAATAAGATGAGAATACATGAAAAATGAAGTTAAACTATAAATTTCTATTACACATGCAACTATTTCAGCAATAACCTACATTCAGAAAAAAAAAAGAAGTTTGGTCTTTTTTGTACGTTTTTTTAGTCATAAATATCTGAGCTTAATTATAAGCACATGAGTAGGCTTATAAAAGCTAATAGGACTTCATAATGTTTTAAACTAAGAACATGTAAATTGTTTGCAAGATTATGGGAAATAATGATATTTTTTCAGAGAGTCATCAGTCTAGGCAGTCAGATAGAAAAGTATTTCACCTCAATCTTGGAAAATTTTCCTGTTTTATAAATATTCTTTACCCTTAAAAGAACTTGAGATGCACTTTGGTAAAGTGAGTACCTGTTTGTCACATAGTGGGATTCTTGGGGCTGCCCTGTGCAGGGCCAGGAGCTGAATTTCAATGATCCTTGTGGGTCCCTTCCAGCTCTGGTTATTCTATGATTCTATGTTTCTGTGACCCTAGATTTACCCATGTTAAACACTACTATGCCTGATGATTGCTACCTCACTTTCAGAGTTATCACTTGTAAAGACAGGAGGGATGCTTTTGATGTAAGACATTATCCAGTCATGGAACAGGCGAACAAATCCAGCTCTGGTTTCACTGTACTGTAAACTCCGAAAGACAAATACGTGGCAAAGCAAGATGCTGCTTACAGCTCCCCAAATCAGACCACCAATAAGTCTTAGTCTCAGTTCAACCTCCTTGGAAGCATGTTTCTTTCCTGTTGCAAAATGTTTCCTTCAGGTCATGTATTTTATAGGAACATCTTTTTTAAATGCCTGCCAAACACTTGATGGAGAAAACCAGTGTACGGAATTGGTGCATTTGGTCCTGTGAAATAAAAGATCCAATCAAAACTGTCTCTACTTATATGTTCTACGGCCATGTGGGCTAATGTTTTTTTTTGTTTGTTTTTTGACTCTTTAAAACAAATCTAACTGAAAACATCACTCCCAATTTCTCCAAATTTTACTCGCAGTGTTTTAAGGGGCAACATTTTAAATGGAAATCTATGTTGCGTTCAGTCATTTCAGTTTTTCTGAAGATTTCTAAAGTCACTTTGTGGCACTTTGAACACTGTCAGGTTTTGCTAGAAAGGAAGGATGAATTGAAGTGGGCCTAGGACTACTCTACATTAACCTGGGGAAGATTAGCTAGATTATTTAAAAGCAGTTTAAAGCCATCCCTACATGCATCATGGTTTCTGTCAAGGTGAAACCAGAATCAGACTAAAAAAATTTTCGTGATTTTCCCAAATAGCTCATACAACCTGAGGCGGCTCGTTATTTCACCCCAGCATGTTAATATGAGCACGTATTTACAGCAGGCAAACAGAAATCTCTCCTCTCTCTGCTTTCCTCCTTATTACTGAAGTTGGGGTTTATTTTTAACTGTGTCTAAAAAGTAAATTAATCTTCCATATTAACAGATTAATGCTTGCCTACAAAGGAGTGCGTAGTTGACCATTCCCAGAAGGCGTGGGGCTTCTCAAGTGTCATATGGACAAAGTCTTGTTTATGTTTCTGTCTTTCTTGCATAAATCAGGGACCCAGCACATCCCTTCCTATCAAAAGGTCACTGCCAAAAAGAAAAGCGAGGAAACTCCTCCAGACTTGCTGAAAAGCATCCAGGCTGAAGTGACAGTGATGAAATTAGCAGCCTAATAACTGGGAATATTTTTCTCCCCACTGCATTTTTAGTTTTTAATTAAATGCTTTCACTTTCTTCTCCCTCACACACATACTCTCTGTGTTTAATTTGTTGGCTTCTCCCATAAGAGAAGAAATATGCATGTTATATTCTAGGGGCAGAGGCGACTTCTGTGGCAGTTCAGCCTTGCTTCATGCATCAGACCAGAAAACTTCCTCTTGTAGCTGTATACATGTGTACTAACCACGATAAATTTGTAGAGATACCAAAATAAGGGCCCTGGTGTTTTCTCCTTTGTGTTTATCTATGTCTATCTTCTGGTGCCTCTTGCTGGGCTGCCAGTCCACACAGTCTCAGCTGGAGCTGCATGTCAACCTACAGGTGTTTGCATATGGTAAGTTCCCCAGTTTACTATCTTTGCTTGCTGCAAACCACAGAGTGGAACACTAGTTATATTTAGGGTCATATTTAAATCTGGGGTCTCAATAAAATAGTCCAAGATTTGTATTCATGTCAGTAACTCATCCTAAACCACGTCCCCAAAATATTCTACACTGCTTTATGGATTTATACCTAGGATGAATCACTTTACCACAGCTGCTGTTTCATCAAAATTACATAAATATTGGTTTTCAGAAGTAGGAGGGATAGATGGATGATTTCTTCGTATTTTGCTTCCTTTGAGAAAATACTAAATGGAGAATTTCTTCCAGTTCCCCTTCAGGAATTCTCATTGAGTGACAGTTTTGAAATCTGCTATAGAGTGCAGACACGTGTTTATGAGTTGAAACCATTACTTCAGAGACTACTTTGACAGTAACGGTAAATGTCACCACATGCTTTGAATGGACTGTTCTCCTTAATGCTGGAGGAAGATGAGGTTGGTGAACACCTGCTTTTAAATGTTTTGAAAGAATTTGACATTTGATTCCTATGATACTACATCTCAATAATTATTTTCAAGTCAGCCACAGAGAGATATGCAGCGTGTACTTAAAGGATGAGAAAGATCTGAGGTCACACAAAATAAGTTCTTTAATAACTAAGAAAGAACAAAGGGTTTCTTCCTACAATGTGGAGTGCTTAGTAAGTTTAGATCATGTCAATCATAAATCTTTGGAATAAGCTTGCAAATGTCTATAGTGATGGTTTAGTGTACAGGTCCTAAAGAAAAATGAAGTTCCATGCTTTTTAACATCCATCAAAAAATACTGATCTTTATGTGTTTTCAAGTTCCATGTAAATCCCATGGCTTTAAATCACAAGGAGTTAAAAGAAATTTAATTTTGTAGCACTAATTATAGACACGTTTTTAGGGTAGGTTTGT